AGTAACATATGTGCTACTGGAAGGTGAACGGATTATGGTCCTATTTTCTTGAAAGTCTCTAGTACTTCATTTCTGATAGAAAGACAAAAAGTGGAGTTGAAAATAAGTTGTTGTCAACTAGACAACTAGATGAAGTTGTTAGAATTTCCATGAAGGTAAATATAAAATGAAAAATTACTGAACTCCTGTACAAAGGGTGGGTTGTTTTTTTTTTTTTTTGTTTGTTTGTTTCAAATCAGCTTTGCTTATCCCTTGGATGAAAAGGTTTTTAAGAGTTTCAAATTAATTCAATGGATGGAGGTGTTTTGCCTAAATCGGTAGCATTGTAGACTTTAAACTGTTTGTAGATAGGTATTTATTCTCCTCTAAATGTTGTAGGTAGGGAATTCTTTTCATTTAAAAGAAGCTTATATTAATATTTAAGGGAATTTTGCAACTTCTGTTCATTAATTGTAGAAAATGCCCAAGTGCCTATGAAAAAAATGATAATGGTATTGATATTTCATCCTGAAGGGTCTCAAAACAATTTACAGATTGGTAGTATAACCAGACTGAGACGCACCCAGCTTCCTGGTGGAACATGGCAGCTGTTTAATAGCCCATAGCAAAACTATACAACAGCCGGTTGTGGAAAAAGACATGAATATGGATCAAATACAAATTGGCAGTGGAGGATTTAGTTACTATACTCAAACTAAAGTTAGGCGAAGTGGAATTCTGCTAGAATATTGAGTCTGTGTGTGAAGTGCTGCACTTTATCTGACCACAGCTCCTAGTATGAGGACCCGTGGTTAGCCCAACTGACAGACAGGCAGAGGACTGTCTGCTGAAATGTAATCCCTGATGTATACTGTAAACCAATGTGTTTGACAAACAAATTTAATTGTGAATACTTTGCTGTTTTCACTTGCAGAGGGGTTTATTAGAAACATTTGATATTAAAATGGGTGCCTGAGGGGGGATCTTGGGCAGATGTGGCAATAGATTTTGATGGGGGTGGCAAAAGTTTTGGCTTGACTACTTCGTTTTAGTAATTACTTTTTGCAGCAAATGGAATGCTACTGGAGAAGGCTGTGTTGCTAACAGCTGCCCCAGCTGTGATGGCTGAGGCGTGGGGTTTTTTTATAGATGTAGAGCATTTATTTGCTAGGAAAAAAATGAATCAAGAAAGGCAACGAGATGCTACCAGACAACCATTCCCTCAGGTCACTGTTGGCCTGAGCTGAATTTTGACCTGTGATTGAAGCTGTATGATCTATAGGTCTAGCACATCCCATTGCAACTTCTTTTTACCATTTTCCATATAATACATGAAGATCTGCAAACTTTTTTTGCTCTGGGAAAGCCTATGGAAGTCCAACTGCTCCATAGCCCTCTGCAACACATGCCCAATTTAAAAGGAGCAAACATGACTTGAACAATTTTTCATGTGCTTTAGTATGCATGTATGTATTTATTTATTTATTTGGGTAATTGAGTTTTCCCTCAGCTAAGGAAAAGCTGGTGTTGCTTGACATTACAATGTGTTTGTGAAGAAAGACTGATACCACAACACATGCAAGCAACTGCAAGGTCATTACTTACCCAGCATAATTAGAACATCCATTCCGAAGGGGGAAAACATTTAAAAGATAAAGAGTGAATTTAAAAATGATTCTTCCCAATGCATTTTTTTCATAATTATAGTTTTAACAGCTTGTGCTGATGGTAGAAGCAGCTACTTAAGAAAAATTAGAAGCCTCATTCGGGGAAGATGATCCCTCAAGAGACCTTGTGTTGTCATTTCTCAAGAACCACGAGCAGAAACCTCATTCAGGATGCTGCATGTTGTTTTGATGTATAGGGGGTATACTTAGCTTATTATGGCCAGTGCTGGATATTTTAATTAAAAAACACCACAGCAGCCACAGATGTATTGTTTCCCCCTTATTCCTCCCCTTGTCTGTGTGCAAAACCACAAGTGTACTGCTGCCCCTGCACTGCAAGGAACGAATACCACAGCAGACAGGCAGGAGAGAAGCAGAAGGTTTCCTAAATTCGTGTGTGACATATCTTAGCATCACAATTCTCATTGCAGCACACAAGCCTTTTGTATTTCTCCGAGTTTTCTGCGGTTGCCAAAGGGAGGTGGGAAATGGAGAGGGAAAACAAAAACCAAACAAAAAAAAACAACCAGTCACCGCATTTAATTTATGAGCAAGATTATTGTTTTACAAATAACCTTCATGATAAATAAAGTCTCATGGCAACATTTTCAGCCGTGCTTTTATCAAGACTCTCTGAGTGGTGTGTGTAATATGCCTGGCAATCGAATCACAGCTGTGTGCCTGGGTAGGGAATCTCTGCGGAGACAACACTTCCTTAATTTAAACAATTGTGGGCTGCAGGAGTTCAAAAATTTCAGCTGACTTTAACTGTCACTAGCCCAAGCACCTTTATCCCCAGGCGAGCAGCAGCAGCTGGATTTCATTTCCTGCTGCCAGACTGTCCGACATCTTTGCTGAACATCCCGGGAACTGAGCGTCTTTACTTTAAGGATTTTATTCAAGGTGACAGCTCCTCACACTTTAGCGTTCAGATCACCTCAAGTAGCTGAGATATCAGTGAAAATGAGAGCACTTCTCCAGCAAACTCCAAATTTAGATTGACTGAGGTTATCCTTAGGCCTCTAGACCCAGCCTCCACGATAGCACAGGCCTGCCAGTAACTTTAAAACTACGGCGGAGTTTGTAATGATGTCTGGGGAGAAATATTCTGCCGGAGCAGTGGAGGATACTATAAGCGATAGGAAATGATGTCAGATTTAGTTAGGGCTGGAGACAGTGTTAGAATATACTTGGCATAATATGGCACCGGTATCTCTGTCAGCATCTCTGTTTTCTGTCACCGCACACAATCCCAGGCCTGTCTCTAGCCCTGACAGTGTCTTTTCAGATCAGGTTATTGCCAACTCGGAGACTGGCTCAGCACAGCGCCATACAGCCCCCTTTGTTTGAAGTCTGCCCTTTTGTCATTAATGCACTTGATGTCTATTTAAATCTGACGGTGAATGCAGTATCTGTTTTCCTGTCAAGAGATCATTGACAATATTAATACCTCATGTCCTTGCCTCATTTTCTAAGCGCTGACACCTAGCTACAGTCTCCAGCATTCATCAAACAGCACTCTCTCACCAGCATCTCTATAAACAGTCTTGCTTCCAGTCCTTAAGAAATGCGGCAGACCTCAAACAAGACTTTTATCAATGCCAGCGAAAAAGGAGTCTGAAGAATGCCATTAATAAACCGTTCGTATCCTTTACATTTAGAGCTCTAAATGGCCTTGTTACCAACCTAATGCCTGCTGCAGTTTGACTTGGAATATCATCTGTTTAGAGGGGAAAAAATCCTTGCTTTTCATTAGACGCTTGTTTAGGAATGAGGATATCATCCCTTGGATGTGGAAACTGCTCCACTAGTGAAGTTATTGAAATTGAAATTATTGAAGAAAGCTCTGTGGAGGAGGGGAAGGGGATCAGCCACTGCACCATATAGTCCCCATTTGTGTTATCCTGAAGAGAAATGTGTTTTTCACAACAAATGACAGGCCTATCAATTTATATTTTTTTTTTCCATAGGAATATGGTACTATCCTGATGTCTTAGAAGGAAAGAAGAGCATGGGTTAACATTAATCTTGTACAGCCCATGCCTTCCAAGGCTTTAGTTGCTCATCTGACGCACTTTAGACTGGAAAAATAGATGCAGAGTATAAAAGCTTGCATACTTGATTCACACTGCAGGTGAGCACGGTACTTGCTATGTGAGTCCTGGAAAGCTAAAGCAGCAATGAATTGAGGATCTGCTCCTCCCCCATCTTTACCCTTTACTTTTTTGTCTCCTTTGGGCTAGGTTATGCTTGCCCTTGTGGGGGTGAGTGAGCCAGGTATTTCAGTGATTGCACTCCCAAGGTAGAGGAGACTCTTTCACCTTCCTTCTGTGCATGGGAGATGACTTTAATTTGACTATACGTGCCTGGGGGCACAAAGAACAACTCTGCTAGTAAAATTTAACATCTTTGAGGATGTTCACAGGTGGGATGTGACTGTGAACTTACGCTTTCACGTACCGCTTAGTACCACCAGAGGGGATGCTTTTGAATAAGGTAGTGGGATCTGCAGGTATGTGTGTCTCTCCCACAGCAGTTAAGGTTTCCTCAGGCATCTTGCCGCCTGTACCCACGGAGAATAACGTGCCTTGTCTCCCAAAAGCAGTATTCTGGCTAATTTTTGAAAGCACCCTCTATGCATTGATATTTAGCATAATTTGTAATTACATCTTGCTTATGGGGTGTTGTTTGGAAAGCTACTTTGGAAATTTGTTTGCTAAATGACTATTTGTATGTCTGGGAAAGATGCTGGAGTCCGGAGGGCTAACCGTTAGGAAGGCCCAAGTTCAAACCTATATCTTTCCATGACTTCCCATGTGGATTCCAGCTGGTCGCTTCAGTTCTCTGCCACTGCAAAGCAGGGATGGCTTTAGGTGCTTGCAGGATGGCTTTGTGGAGGTTTGAAAGGTTTTTCCTGGTTTCACATTGAACTGTAACTATTGGCTGCTTTTTTCTTTTTGGTTTTAATCATCAGGAAAAACCTGTAAACATGTAGCAGAGAGTACAAATGTAACTTCAACCCTAACTTTCTGGTTTTTAAAAGCAGGAGAGAGGTACTGTGATTTAAAATATAGTGTATGATGTCTTGGTGTTATGTCATTCCATTTTTTGAAGACGTTTGTGGATGTATGTTTAACAGGATAGGTCGTGCAGGTATTTGAACACAGGTTTTCCCAGTGGATTCAAAACTGCTGATTGAAATTGTAATACTGAATATTTCAAATGTACAAACTTTCCTTTGCAGGACAAGAGAAAACTGCTCCCTTCCCTCCTTCAAATTTCCCTAGCTACGTGCTTTATTTGCATGTCATGCCACTGTTGTTCTAATTGTAATTAATTTCCTTTTTATTGTAGGCATTTTGGGAAAATGCCGCTACATTTACTATGGAAAACATTCTGAGGGCAACAGATTCATCCGAGACGACCAGCTATAAAACACAGCGTTGTTTCCTGCCTCTTCAATGCCTCCACATAAGAAGCACAAATTGCATCTAAATTTTAAGCATGTAACTAAAGTCCTCTAGTGCCTTCTGCTGACTTTGCCAAGCCTGTCAAGATCATCCTTCTATCTTAGTCTGAGTAGTCACATAGAGATTGACATGATTGCCTTTAAGCAGGTCCCATCCACCAGTGTGACAGACAGCTGCAGCCGAGCACCCGGCCTGACAGGAGGAGCACCGTGATGGATTGCCTGGTCCAATTGCTGCTCGCAGAAGAGCAGGGGTCACACCTGGGGCTTCAGTGAGCATGCTCCATCGGTCGGCGCCTTAGCAAAACCAGCGCATTTATCTCTAGCTTGCCTGTTGAGCAAAAGTGGCTGGCGATATCTAAGTGTTTAGAAAAGAGAGAGCCTATAATTTCAGATGAAAAAGCCCTTATCTGTTCTTATTTTTTGCCTTGTGAATTAAGTGCTTGTGTTTCTATCATCTCATACATGCTTACACAAATCCTTTCACAGCATTTTTTTTTTCTGGTTGGTGTCCATCCCCCACCCCCAAATGAGCCTAGATGGATTATTTTTTCTTTCAACAGGGAAAAAATATAAGCTGACAATATTTTGGCCATGCAAAGTATTATCAATTTGTATCGTTGTTTATACGCAAAGGAAAAGGACTTAAGCAATTTTGCAGACAAACAAAATTTACTAATTCTTAAATTACATCTCAACATTTATTAACTTCGACCTTCAGAAAAGCCATTTTTTAATGGTGTAGAATAGTGGCACAGCTTAACTGTATATACTTGGAAGAAGCTCTCAATTGTGATATTGACAGTGTGTATTATTCCTGGTTTGTTGCACAAGATATTTTTAACTTGTACAGAGATTACATTTAGAATTAAATGCTTAAATTTGGAAAGCAAATTGCTTAAAAGGAATGATATAAAATAAAATTGCCACCAGATGGGTATGATTATTCAGAGAGGAAAGAAAGTCAATAAAAGTAACTGGTGGAATTAACATAATTAACAGCTTTACTAATATGTTATAGACTTCTGATTAATCCCTTTTGATGTCTATGTAAGAAAGTAAAATTTTCAGTGGAAAAAAAATAAAATTGCATGGCATATTTTCCTGCTTTTCTGATATACAGGTTAGATATATTTAGCATCGTGAACTTGTTACCGTGAAAAAAAAAATATCCAATGCTGCATACCTATATTGTGTTAAGTGCTACTAGATACAATGGGATTGGCCAAGGAATATGCAAAAATTCTGACCTCTGGGCTGTTCCAAACGCGTGCATATTGGTCCCAGTTGAGAGCCATCACTGTCTGGCTGTTCTTGGCTTATTTGGAGTTACTTGGTAGTCATCATTCACTTTTCTGGTTGAAAAAATGGCAGTTCTTAGAAGTTGTCTGCTTTTGGGGGCTATTATCAGCTACTGCTACAGGTGGAACTGAACTGGATACTGAAGCCAATAGTGAAGTCAGGTTTGACGGATGAAGAAGAATGAGACACTGGCAGAGTGACAAAGGAAAGCTTGCTGCTGCTGAATGGTTTAGGTCTTACTCAGTAAACGGAAGTCTTCACTCACTCTGAAAGTCTATAATAAATCTTTAACAGATACTGAAAATCAGTGATGAACGTAGAACTATCCAGTTCACACCACCTGTGGTTCAAACTGAGCTCTGAGCTGTTTGCCATACAAATTGGTGTCTGGAAGGCATGTTTTGGTCATTTGTAACGCCTCTGCTAATGTCATAGATGGCTACAAATGAAATGCCAATTCGCATTAGAAGCCCTAGGAGATATTAGATAAAGGAAAACTACATGCCCCTTTTAAATAAAAAAAAAAAATAAAAAAAAAAGAAATATTTAGGGCACTTGTCGTCTCTTGGTTACCAAAATAACAGCAATCCTAGTTTGTTCATTTCATATTGTCTGGTTTGGATCCTCCGCACATTTTGGCCATGGCATATTACAGGCAGCAGGGTTGGGAATAAGGGTGTTTAGAATAACCTAATGTCACTTTCAGTCTGGTTGCATATATGTTCTTGTCTTTATAAAAGGCTTTAACCCTGCCTCAAACAATAAACAGCACTTGCAAACTGACCGCATGATTTCTCCATCTTTATTTTGCTTGTTTACTTTTCCTAGTGTCAAAACCATTTGTATCATTTTCAGGAGTGTTTTCTTCCCAGCAAAGCTTTGGAGGCAAAAATATTTTTGGAATGAGATGTGATCAAAGTCCCTTCCATTTTGGTTTTTGTTTTCACTTGGGGAATTATATACCTATAGTTAAATATGGTAAAGCCCTAATTAAAATTTGCTTAAAGGGAATTCACTGTTACTGTTAAATGTTACTGATTCTGGAAAATCAAAAGGATATTCTATGAATAATTACTTTATATTACTAACATGTGTTAGGATATTATTTAAAAACAAGCATGGATGTTTATTACTGTTTATGCTAACATAATTATTTTTTTTTTAATATGCAGAGCACTTTACTTGCAGATGTCTTCTGCTGAAGTTCTGTTTTAAGAGATGGCAAACTTTTCAAACCTGGGGCTGCTATCTACACTTTGTTCTTTCCTCAGTGGGAACTGTGGCTGAATTCCTTAACTGCACTGAGTATCATTGAGGATGAAAGTTGCAGTAAAGTAACCTAAGAGATTCCACTCTCTCTCCTTTACTCCCCCTTCTCCATACATGGCACATCTTTCACTCTCATGATTAACTCGGCTATTAAAATTAGAAGATTTGCCTTCGAAGCTATAAGGATTTTAAAATGTGTATCTTTCCAAGGAACCAGTGCCTTCTTAGTTCTTTGTGTTGTCACAAGAAAAATTTTCGCCAGCCTTGTTTCTTGGTGGTTAACAAGGTTTGAGATCTGAGGCGTTCTTGAATAAGTAATCCTTAAATGCTACATTTTTTTTTTTAAAAAATCCATACTTCAGTTTTATGCTCAGTCTTGTGATGACCACTACTTTGGCTTTTGGCAGACATCATGTGTCTTCACAAATGAAGACTAGAAGGTGAATGGTTTTACTAGGAGCTGCATGTAGTAGCTGTGCTTTGTTAGTGCATTCCTAACTTCATCTATTGCAAATGTTAATTCCGAACCTTTTAATTAAAAATAAGAAAAAATCCAAACTACAATATTTAAGTGAAATTTTAAAGATGAATGACCTTCAGTGAAAATCCTACTGTTATGGATACACAGACCTAACTTTAGAGCAAACTGGCTCTAATTGCATGTGTTGCATGCATAAATGATTTATGGGATTGCTGAAAATATGTTACTACTGAAACCATTTTTTTCTCCTTTGTTAGGGCTGAGTCTCACAATGCTTATTCTAGTATTTTCTTTACTCAAACCCCAAGTCCCTTTGAAGTTGATGTTTTTATCCATGAAAGTCAGGGTTACTAGTATTGGCAGGCTGGTATGCGTCTCCCTTTTTAAGATATTTGGTTCCCTGAGCAGAGCATTACGAGATTGCTGAATGTTCAATTGTCACATCTTCTTTGCAGATGAAAAATCACTGTATGTTGGTCTTCTGTTGCTCCCATTTAAGTCAGAAGAAAGAAACAAACCTGTCTGTGCTTTTGAAAACTCTTTCTGTAAATTACAGGGTTCACTTGCTGCCAGTGGATGTACTAATATTTTTTATTCCTGCCAAAGATATGAGTATGTTGGGAAATGTTTACCCCCCGCAGAACGTTGCTAGATGCAGCCTTTGTGGCAAGGTTCTGAATCAGCCCATTTTGTACTGACTCAGACAGAGTCTTACCACATATTTCTTCTTAATGTGGTGTGATAGTTGGCACACGAGTCTCTGCTTGCCCAGTTTGGGTAAGTTTATTCTCTTTGCTCTGTGCACAACTGTCTGTCTTTCTGCTTTGTTAAATGGTTGGCATATGTGAAAGAAAGATGAAATTCAGCTTTCCAGAGGTGTAACCGTGTAGCCGAGATTGAGGCTGTGTGTTTGGCACTTAGATTTCTAAGTATCCGTTTGCAGGTTCAGCCTGGAGAATCTGACAGTGAATCAGGTGATATGAAGTCAGGGGTCTTGCATGGCTTGCTAGCTCCTGTCCTCTCCTCCTAAAGATCTCTAGCTGCCTCCTTGTCTGCTTCAATTGCCATGTCATTGCTCTGCAAGCAAGTGATGGCACGAAAGAAGTAAGTGCCCCCCTTTTGTTTTTAAAGTGAAATTTCTGCTTCACTGCTTGTAGTATAACAATTGAAATGCATAGTTTGCTTTTTCAGTGTTTTTATATATACATCTGGTAACTGTTACATCTCACTGGCTAGTCTTTTTCTGCGGTTTAGTTAAAATCTGTTTTCTGCATTCCTTTCTACCCCTAGTAATGGGAATAAAACAAAACAAACAAGATATGATAGTGAGAAAACAACCATCTAAAGATGCTACTGTGGGACCATGCTTACGCTAACAACTCTGGGTGACAGGTGAGCACTGTTGTATGCAAACACCCCTAAATGGCTTGAAGGACCGAAATGTGGCATGCCTTCTGGTTTGGAGCCTTCCTGGCGTTAGCCTGTGACTGTGAACAACTGATATAGCCTTTGATTTCCTGATACCACTCCAGCAGTATTAGGGGGTTAGAGAACGTTGTCTTAACTATACTTAATGCTCATTTTGCTTCTAATGTTATCCGAATAACCTACCAAGGTCTTGGATTATATGTGCATTAGGCTCAAGAAAAATGGCTTCTTCCAATCATTTATAACTTGTTCTTCAGTAGTCTTAAGAGTATTTTCTTTGGTGTTTGTTATGTGAGAATGTGCAGCACATACCAACCACTCCTACTTCATCAAAGGTGCTCGAATGAATATATTTTCTGTATGTGGCACTACAGCAGTTGAATCTTTCTAAAAGTTACCTTTTAGGTTAGGTGACTCTGATGGACTTGCCTCTGGTGGTGTTGTCAACCTGAAGCTGACCCTTTCTTAGAGTTGCTGACAATTAG